CCTGCAACAAAATGTAACCAATTATGTATTGACACCTACACTTCCTCATGTATGTACAAAATAAATAGGTGGCTCAGATCACACTCTGGGTCCACTCATCCCGAGGAGATTCCTGCGTGTGTCTTCTTTTCTGGCTTGTCGTTGCTTGCCAGAATTCATGAGTGACCCACCTTAATGTGGCAAGGCTGAAAATGCCACATTTTGGTGACCCCGACGTGATGTCTGCGGAGGTCGTTGCTTACCCAGAGATGCGTCTCGGACCGCCCATACCCATTCGCCTGAGGGAGGCTGTGCACTCGTCCCGTCTGAAACACGGCTGGATTCTCGTGAGTATGGAAGGAAAGCTCTCTCAACAGAAAGGAAAATAACAGGCTGCACGCCTGAAGGAACTGAGAGAACTAACCGAATCTTCTAAAATTTTTTGCTTCAAACGGGGGTAAATCATTCCCTCGATTGTAAAGCAATGATCTAATTGGCCTTCTGACACACATTTGGCAACACTGTCCATCGTACCCAGAAAAGGGGAGTTTTAAATTAATTCTATGGACAAAATTCCCTACACCCCCACACAGAAAATATTAGAGAAACTATTTTGAAGTAGAAACAACAATAAGGGGAATTTTCAGAGTACATAAATTAACTCAAAATGTACTCCTCTGCAATGCGTTTTGAACAAATAGGAATGTTTTGAAACTTCATGTAACTGTTAAGTTTAACCCTGTCAGACAATGTCTGATGGTGCTGTGTGTTGACATGTATTGTATTTTGTTCATATATAAATGTTGTTTTATATATATGTGTGTGTACATGTGTGGCCACCCAGAACACTATGCTTGGACTTGGAATGGTGAGAAAAATGAGAGATGAAAGGGCCCTATAAAACCATGTTTGGTTGAAATCAGCTCTTGATTTTTCTCGCTTTTTGCAGGACAAGTCATACGTTTCAATAAATGTTGTTTTAACAGTATTTGTGTATATATGTTTGTCTATGTTGTTCTGTGTTATTTCCAAGACTTGGAAGAGGGTCAAACCCTCTCTGATAACAACAATACAAAAAGGCCTATTTAAGAATGGTTTGCCTGGAAAACGTATGAAATGAAATATTTGTATGAAAACAGTTAGAATGAAAGTGGATGAGTTTATTTGCTGATATATAAGTGTGTGTGTTAGCCCTCAAGCCCTACCCCCCACCCATTTTCTCCCAGGCTGTGAAAGAAATAATGAATGATAGATTTTGTTATTGTAAAAGTAATTGAAGAGTGATCTGACAATAGGGGAGATAGTGGTTGAGCCCTTGTCATGGTCAGATCATTCTCTCCTAAAGCTGGGCTTCCGGACCGCCCCCCCTCGCCGCAGGGAGACGGAACCGCCTAGATGGTTCCGTCCCAGGCGACTGATGGACCCTGAGAGGTTCCTGATGGAGCTTGGGCCATATCCGGAGGATCTGGTCCACGA